AAAGGAGTGACAGGAATATTGAAACGGATTTTTCTTTCTGTAATCACTCCTACTGTTCGTACTGGCTGTGAAGAGATCTACTGTGCTTTCAATGTAAGTGAGGCACATTTGTGTATCTGTGTTTCTCTGTATGTAATAAATTAATCTGATCAGGTTGGTATCTTCAAACTCACTATGTATAGTATGAACAGGAGGAATCATCGCAGCCAGCAAGAATAGTTTTATTGTACATACTGGCAGCTGACTATTGGTTTAAGACGGACTTTGAAAAACTGTCCTTTAATAAAGGAGTGTCACTCCTGCTGGTGACGATAACCGCCGTCATTAAAACCTCCACGTTTCTGTATAAAACCTGTACACCGCCACGTCACTGATGTCAAATCTCCGTCTCCAGACTGAAGAAGCTGGCGGAGGAGGAGGAGAGGAGGAGGCGCGAGGAGGAAGAGCAGGCGCGAGTGAGACGGGAACAGGCTCAAAGAGAAAGAGAGAGGAGGATGCAGGAGGAGAGGAGGAGGCAGATGGAGAGACTTCAGAGGATGAGAGAGGAGGAGGAACAGAGGAGGAAAGGTGAGAGGACACGGGAAGTAAAAGAAGAAGAAAGCGACGGGAGGATGACGGGTGGAGGAGAGAAAGGACACACAGAGGACGAGGAGGAGGAGGAGGAGGAGGAAGGAGGGTTGAGATCTACCCAAGCTAACAATGAGCTAGGACGTGATAAAACAGGCTCCTCTTCAGTCATATCACAACCACCATCATAAAGTAAACAAACTGTTTGATAACAAAGGACGCGTTTTACCATTGGTTTAATTGTGTTGAATTGATTTTGTGTATGTATTAGTGAATACTTGTTGAAGCTGCACTGTGACTTCACACTTTTACCAAACATCTGATAAATGTTGACATCACATTGGACTATCTACTCTATTTTACTCCACTAAGCAATTTAGATTCATGTTGACGTCACGTTGCACTTTTATTCCACTTTTATTCCACCGATCCATCAGAAAATACATTACTGCTGGAAGTCATTTCATTTCATTTTGTTTTGTCCCTCTCAGCTGAACTGGAGCGTTTGCAGCTGGAGGAGCAAAGGAGGCAGGAGGAGGAGAACAAGAAGCTCCAGGAGATGGATGAGAGTGAGAGGATGGAGTACCTCCGCAGGAAGGAGGAGGAGGAAGAGGACAGGAGGAAGAAGGAAGAGGAGCGTAAGAGGAGAGAGGAGGAGGCCGCCATGTTGGCCGCAGAGGAAGCCAGGCTGCAAGCGGAGCTGCTCGCCAGGTATGTACGAGCATCCGTCTCCTTAAACTGGTTGCTTATTCTACGGCAATGCTTTTATGTTACCTCACAGACGTTTTTGCGTTCCCTTCTGATTTACATTTCCAGAGGAGGGAAGACTATTTATTGCCCCTTAACCAGCTGCTCTGTCATTCTGTCCTCCCTGCAGAGAGATGGCGCTGTTGCAGCAGCACTTGGCCTTTAAAAGGGGTCTTGTATTGGAGGCTGGAGGTCTGGAGAAAACTCAGGGTATCTCCAGACCGTGGATCTACTCTTACTTCACTTTGTCGCAGCTACTGGGTCTCAATCCGGCGAAAGCTGAAACCACGACCTGAGCAGATTCTCTGATTTTGTCCATTTGTCTTCAAATCTGATTCTCTTTTGTTTCAAAAAAAAAAGTTTAAAATGTCAAATTCATATTCTTGTTTTCTTTGTTTTTTTGAGTCTGGATTATTTCATTCTGTGAGTCAAGATTATTGTCAGGATTACGTTCAGTAACCTAGCTTCACTGAGTCTAACATTGGTCATCATGCATAAGTCGTTAATTACAATACTGGATAATTCTACTGATTTGGTCCTTAAACAACTGAAACCACGTGAGAAGAATAGAAGGGAAAATCACCCTTTGGTGGAAGTGCTAACAACTCAGACAGATCAGAAACCTGTGACAAAAGGGAGCCCAGGTAGGTTCTGCTTATTTGTAAAGGGGTTTTTATGTTGCATTTTATAAGCATATCGTGTATATTTTTATGTAAAATCTTAATTTGAAAAGAAACTAGAAACAACAGCTCAACTCAGGAAAAGTACTTGAGTAAATGCACTTAGTTACAATAGTGTATCCTGGTGAGTTCACATGCTCGAGGCACTGTTGGTGTGTGTTGCCCTGTATGAGAAGAAGAGTATTTGTTTTTGTGGTTTTTTTGCAAATCTTTACATAAAGTGACAGTAAACCCAAAATAAATCCTAAAATGATCTAGGAAATCTTTTGGATTTGTGTGTGCATGTGTGTGGATGATGTGAAAGGAATTTTCCAGTCACTGTGATGAAGGACGAGGGATGTTGTTGCCCCACCTTCAGATCTATTTGGATGCAGTAATTTCAGTAGCACTTGGCAACGCACACAAGCCCAGAGATGACACATGAGAGTCATTAGGTCCTCTGCTGTGACACCCTGGTGTGCCACCTCTACCGTGGTGAACTGGCCTCAGGGAACAGGACTGACTACAGCCGCTCTCCATACAGCTAATTACTGTATGACTCAATGGCTACTGTGTGTTTGCCTCATGGGATGTTCCTCAGAGCAAATACCTCACAATCTGAGTCTTTTTTTCCATCAGATGGCATTTTAATGGTTATTTTTAATCACAAAGTTGTTGCTTTTCAGGGGTTATTTGGATGTACAGATGTTACATTAGAATTGGTCAGCGTGTGATTACCTTCATTATCCTGTGAGACCAATTAAACCAACTGCACCACAGTGGAGACCCAAACACGCAACTAACAAAGTAAACAACAAGGTCTCTAAGAGTGGATTTCCATCCACCTGTTTTTAGGTGTTTTTTCAATTTTAAATGCTGCAAAAAATGTTTTTATGCTTGGCTGAGGTGGAAAAGTTGATGTTAAGGTAAAAGCAAAATGTGAAAAAGTGCGATGAAACAGACAGATCTGTGTGTAGTAATGAGGAGACTATTACTTTACTTAAATTAATATATGAAACAAACTTCTGCATTGTTGTATCTTCTTCTTCTTCTTCTACATTGGTTTTAATGGTACCCGGCTGGAGAATGAGCACTGCTAGCTGTTTATCTTCCCGAAAAAACTTGTATTGTAGTTTATTTTAAGTCATTCCCATATACACTGTCCTGCTGCACCGAATGTGTATTTATCCGCAGCTGAAAATAATTGCCAACAAAAGCAGTTTGAGAAATATTTGCTAAAAACTACAGTGCCCAGCTGTTTTACATTATTATGCAACTTTTTTTTTTTTAAAACAAAAAACAAAAAAACTATAATTTTTTTTTTAAGTTTTCAGTAGCAAAACTTTATAATAACTTCAGCTGTATCATTTAAATAGAAGAAGTTGGACTGTCTTACATATGAGTAAGAAAAATAACATCTACAGAGTGCTGGAATTCAGGATATCAACATAAAAATATTAGTGAAATTGTCACGTGGTTGCTACATGTGCTAGAATCTTCTTTAATTTTACCAAACATTGAGTAATGAGTATGGTTTAATATCTAACCCACAGTCTGAATCAGAAAAAGAAAATAGTGGTCAATGTCTCCCAAAACACCAGTTGCCAAACGAAAAATGTGGGGGGGAAAAAAGAAGAAAGATTTCTCAATACAGAGTGATCCCTCGTTTTTCAAATTGACGAGCTTTTGGTGTCGCGGGTGACAATTGACACCCGGAAACACTTCACCCAAATTGTTGCGATGGCAGAAAATACGCTACTGTTGATAGGTGATTTACTCCCCAAATTCATGTGAAAAAAACATATTTAACCAACACTTTTTTCAGTTATGCTATGTGCTTAATAATGGGAGTTTTAGTAATGAAAAAATAACCTTCAACAGTCTTTAAAGATTAAGTTAGCGCTACCTGAGCTATACCATCAGTTCTGATCCTGTGTTAGCTAAAGAAGCTTTTGGTTAGAGCCGAGCAATCCAGTTGTAATCGTAAACTATCACAAGCGGTAAGTTGAAAACATTTTCTCTGTCACCCAAAAATTTTAGACTTTAACGAGAATATAATCAACACAGTTCTGACCTCTAAAAGAAGCTGTGTACAGAGAGAGAGGTGCTAATCTCTCTCGGTAGCTAATAACCTC